GGATCTTTGGGACAGAATTTGTTCTTCTGACTGAAGTGACCTATACCTATTCTTCTGATTGAAGTGGACTTTACCAGAGCAGCTGAAGCTCCCCGGATTTGTGGCAGGGTCCAGCATTGGTGATGAGGTGGCAGGGAGTAGGTGGCAAAACGGTTCTTTGGGAAAAGAATCTTGGGAATAGGAAATGTTTCTGGCTTTTGAGTCACCTGTTCTTCTGTGATGGAGGTGTTACTTTCATTGGTTGATAAAGAAAATGCCTTGGCCCATTTGATTGGCTAGCCCTTATGTGGGTGGAGTAGACAGAACACAATGCTGGGAAGAAGGGAAGTGAGCCACATGCCATGCCTCTCCTCTCTGGGTCCGAGACATGATGAAGCTCCAGCCCAAGATGGACTCATGTTGGACATGCTGAATCTTTCCCAGGTAAGCCAGCACTTTGTGGTGCTACACAAATTATTAGAAATGGGTTAAGCAAGATATAGAATTAGCCAAGAAAAGGCTAGATATAATGGGCCAGAGAGTGTTTATATGAATACAGTTTGTGTGTTGTTATTTCAGGTGTAAAGCTAACCATGTCGGAGCCGGGTGGGACAAAAGCAGGCCTGACCCCAGCTCCTTCAACAAATGGCTGCCCAACATGGAAAAAAGCATCCACAGAAAGTCTGAGAAAGCTTGGGAAAGAATAGAAAAAAGCATGTTTTCTTAGTGGCAGCAATTTCTTGAATCTGTTCTGCTTACTACAGGCAAGTAAGTGCTCTCATCTAAGAGAGGCTTCCTGACTCAGCTTTAGCTGCAAAACCCTGTAGAACTTTTAAGAGGTCCTGCCACAAAATACTTAAATAATATTGATGACAAGCTGACCACCTGCTTCTCTGTTTTCAGCCATAGCAGGAAGAAGCTGCGCCGATTTAAAATGCCGGCTTTCTGGGCCGTCCTGACAGGGCAAACTCTGATGCTTTCAGGCAGGCAGTCACACTGAGTGTCTCTGAGCAGAATGCTTCAGCTTGCTTGCTGACAGGGACCTTGAAACGCCATAGAATTGTGACAATAAAAATGGCAACACCCGGTATCTCTGTTATGAGGAAGGAATGCTAAGGAATGGGCTGGATCCAGTTGTCAAAGCCACACTTTCATCCTCTTCTTAAAAACTCCTGTGGTCAAATAAAGAGAGACATATACAGTAAAGAGAAATCCAGAGCAAAAAAAAATCCCTAAATGGTTTTCAGTTTGTTAAAAATATATGTAAGCTAAAGGTTAAAGTTTTTAAAGTAAAAAAAAAATGAAAGAAAGAGAGTAGTTGGGTGTGGTAGTACACACCTTTATTTCCAACACTTGGGAAGCAGAGGTAAATTGACCTCTGAGACATCATGGGGAAAAGTTAGCTTAACCATGAGACTTCAGGGTGTTGCAAGACACACCTTTAATCCCAATGCCTGGGAAGCAGAAACAGACAGATTACTGTGAGTTCAAGGCATTGTAGCACACACCTTTAATCCCAGCACTTGGGAAGCAGAGGCAAGTGGATCTCTGTGAATTCAAGGACAGCCTGGTCTAAAGAGTTATTCCAGGACAAAGATATACAGAGAACCTGTCTCAAAAAATAAAAGTAAAAATAAATGAAATAGAGGTTAATATAAAGCTGTAGAAAGATGGAAAATACACAGAGAATCTTGATACTATATGCTATTATGCTCTCATTGAATTGTTTAAATGCCCAGGATGGAGCAACAGCTGCTAAAAGATATTTGTATATAAACGCTGTTGAACTAATCCAAGATAGATATTTTGAAAATACCTTGACTTTAAAATTTGGATCTAAGGACATGATGCTTTGGAAAGGAATTTCTTCTTTTGTTTCCACAGAGGATGAGCCCCTGTGGATTGCTTCTATCCCAATATGGTATGATAGACCATGCCCTCCTGAAAGGTTGCTGTAAATACCTTCAAACAATTACTTCATTCAACTGCTGACTGAGATGAACATGGCACACAGGTTATCTGTTATATAATGAAAGACCGAAATAACAGCACCCTCATACAGCATGAAGCAGTTTGGATAGAAAAAAACTGTGACCAAATCCCCAAATATTGTTATAATTGTTCTTTTACATTTAAAAGGGGATATGATATAGATATGAATAATTTGCATTGGTATGGATTTGACTTTATTGATATAAATTTAAGGTCAATCTTGTTTTATGTGTATGTATTTCTGACCTTGACTAAGGTAATGTGATTGTATAGTTCATGTAAAAATGTAATGTATATAGGTTGTTAATGGATAATCATTAATAATAATTAAGCTTATACTCATGTTAGTTAGATTTTCTAGATGTGCATAGATATATTTCAGATAGGCATTCCTCATATCTTTCAAAGATTACAGAATATGCCATTTTAAATATTTTAATAACTTAGGACTGTTTATGACATTGACACATGTCTGCTCCTGGCAGCACCATTCAACTTCAAGAGGAAGATGGGCATCGAAGAGGCTCCTTTTGGAGTTGGTTAGCCATTTGTGCAAGAAACTGCTCTTGCCTGAACTGTTGTATAAACTGGACACAAAGAACCCACAGAGAGAGGACTGCTGAACTTGCCTAAAGGTGAGATGATCTTTCAGGGTTCCTGATTCATGAAAGAGTCTGCGAGACATTCTGCAGGACACAGCAGATAGTGACTGAACTGCCTTTGAATTTTCCTGCTTCATGGAAATGTCTGCTGGATACTATGGGCCTGTAGACTGAAGATGGATGTCCCAATGGTACAGAGGAACTTTGGGTGCCTTTCCTGACAGTGAGATGTCTCAGTCATTTCTAGAGTTTGGAAGTTGCTTTTTTCTTGTTTATGTAGGTAATATTATATCCTTCTGGAGTCTTTGATGGAATTGAAGAATAGATAGATAGTGATTGTTTTCCTTAGTTATGATAAAAGATAAAGTAGATATTAATATTGTAATTGTAATTCTTGCTTGATAACTGTTTTGTTATATGTGATTTGACTATGTTAAAGTTAAAGCCTTTCTTTTTTGTTTAAACAGAAAAGGGGAAATGATAGAGGTGTTACTTTCATTGGTTGATAAAGAAAATGCCTTGGCCCATTTGATTGGCTAGCCCTTAGGTGGGTGGAGTAGACAGAACACAGTGCTGGGAAGAAGGGAAGTGAGCCAGATGCCATGCCTCTCCTCTCTGGGTCAGAGACATGACGAAGCTCTAGCCCAAGAAGGACGCAGGTCAGAAATGCTGAATCTTCCTCTGTAAGCCACCATTTAATTGAAAACATCTAGCATTTTAAATATAAGTTATTTATGCTACAGAAAATACGTACAATTCAGCCCAGTCAGTTCCAGTTAGAACAGAAATTGATGAGAGTGAGGGTGGAAACAGAATTAAAGGAAACTAAATTGGAACAGAATCAAACCACAGTGGCAGCAAGAGTTGCCTTTTATTATAAGTTCAGAGTAAATATTAAAAATCAATTATGGCTAAATAAAACACAGTTCGGGCCCCAAGTTTGAAGTCAGAATGTTGCAGCGTAAAAGAATGGCAGACAGAATTGATTATAAAATATTCAGCTTTAATAAGGGGAGGACTTACAAAACAGAGATTCCAGCAGAGAGCAGGAAAACAAAAGGGGAGGAGGGGAGCACACCTGCAATATTTATAAGAAAATAATAGCCTCAGGGGATCCCGTCCTTCAAGCAAGGTGTTTGGCTGAGCTTCCCGTACAAAAATTCATTTATTTGCAACCATACTAATAATGAAGATTTGTAGATTTCTCAGTACATGGGAGCAGTGTGAATACTGATGTTCCTATTATAGTAACACTAGAAAAGCTTTTTGGTATTACCTGGTCATCAAATAAATGGACCATAGAAAGCTGTGTGCTTTATTGTGATGAAATGTTTTCAAAATTATGTATTTCATTCTTAAAATGCTGCTAGATTTTTATGAGAAAACATTAATGAAAGCAATTTAGAGCATTTTTGTCTTGATAGAAATACATACACAGATACACACATGAATACACACTGTCTATGCATTCCAGGTAATTTTTATGTGGACATAATTGTATCTTTATAAATAAAACTACTGAAGTAATTCTTAAAAAGTGAGCAACTATGCTACAGAAAGATAAAGGCAATTTACATATAAAATATAAGTATATCACATATATGATATATTACACATGTAATGCTTATACAACTATACATATGGTAAAATTCCAATGTTTTAATTGAATCTATTCAGATAAATATGACTATTTGTTTACGAAAGTGCTGCCCATTTGCTCAAACACTGATTTCTTTAAAATATATTCTACTTTTATTTAACTAAAATATAACACAACAATACTAATGTTTAGAATGTTTTTGAAAGACTTTCAACATTCCTTCAAAAGAAAATTATTGAGTATATGGATCACACGGCCTGAAACTAATACAGATTAGTCTAAATCATTTTAACAAATCCTCATATCAATGACATTACCACCACACCTCTTCCTTGCAATGAAGATTTTTGCCTTGGGGTCTAGGGTGTGGAGGCAGTATGTGATTCCAAGTCTATGAGTCCTCCCAAGTGACTAGATTCTCATGCATCCATCCTCAGTACTGCTCAAAAGTCGGATAAAAGTATTGAACATTGTTTGGTCCACAGACTCCCTCTGTGATGAAAACTGGACCTCCCATCGAGGCTTCCCATTCAGGCACTGCTGAGTAATGTTGAGATTCAACCACTGTGGGTTGACCAGGGTTGCAAGCTACAACAGGAGCTTGACGTTCAAGCAGGTCCTCTTGGCGAATACACCCGGTATCCTCTATGGCCTGGTCATCATGAAGAGAAGCTGGCAGGCTGAGGGTGGGTGGGAGACTAAAGTCCACAGTGGATGTGTCTAGAGACGTGGACTCTCTATTTCCAAGGGCAGGAACAGATAAGCGCCATTGAGAATGGGTAGGCACGGAAACATCTTTTGAGCTTCCATTTGATTCTGGCAGGACTTCATGAGTTTCCCCCAGATGCTTTTTTGTTCTTAGCACGCTGGTTCTTGAACCAGATCTTAATCGCATACTCGGTCACACCAATCATCAGTGCCAGCTCCATGCGTTTCTGCAGGCTTGGGTCCTTGTCCTGATCGAAATGTCTTTGGAGGAGAACTTTTTGTTCCTCGGTGTATACGGTGCGTTCTCTCCGTTGCTTCCTCGGAACTTCAGGGTGAACTTGCTGGTCACCACATTTATCTGAAGATGCAATAGGGACTTGGGAAACCTTACAACCCGAACTCACTGAGGAAATTAAGGGAATCTGGTGTCTAGAGAGCGCTGTTCCGGTTCCCAGCAATTGGGGACTCGGTTTCGTTGATGGGTCTGGGGACACGTGGGGACGTGGAATTCTTTCATCATCTGAGTGTCCCTGGAGACTTGATTGCATTAGCACTCCTGGTAGAATAAGGGGACTTTGAGACATTTGCAGACTCGGTTCGCTTACAGTGGATGGGTGGTTTTGGAGCTCAGGGCTCTGGCACAAGTAATCTGCATTGGCAGAGGCGACAAGAGGGACAGAACCTTGAGGGTAGGCAGGCCTATCATGAGATCCAGAGCCAGGCTCCCCAGGAAGTTCTTGAGAATTCTTCAGATTCTGTCTAGCTCTAGCTCGTCTGTTCTTGAACCACATCCTGATATGGGACTCCTTCAAGCCAAATCTTTGAGCCAGTGCCATGCATTGCTCTTGGCTTGGGTTCATGCATTTATCAAAATATTCCTGCAGGACAAGCTTTTGTTCCTGGCTGAATACCGTGCGTTTTCTCAGTTGCTTCCTCAGATCACTGACAGAAGCTTGTGACCTTGGAGGGCCTTGAGAAGGGAGGAGACCTTGTGGACATGAGATACTAGAAGAACCTTGAAAGTCTGGGTTCACTGGAGAACTAGAGTGCTCGTTACTTGGAAGGACACTGTAGTCTCCCATCATTTTCAAACCAGGTACCAATGGTAATCGCTGGGGATCTTGAGATTCTGGAGTCAACAGAGGGATTTGTTCTGAGCGTAAGATATTTCTCCACTGGAGAAACTGGGACTAAAAACAGACAAATATCAGAGAATTGTCATAGTCCCTAGCTACATCACTATTCCCTTGCCACAAGGTACTACAGGCTTCTTATCTATCACTGTGCCCCGGCCTGTACCTTTGCTGGAGAACAATGCTAAATGCTGGCCCAGCACCCTGGGGTCTCACCAGCACTCTTTCCCTGGCTTCCCCAGTATCTGCACTCACCGAGTTCTCAGTGGTCACATCTATGAGGTAAACTTGCAAGCAGCTCCTGAATTTTCAAAGAAGCCTCTCGCTACCCATTGAGCTGTGAATGTGAGGAACTTCAAACCCCAAGCATATATACCAGCTCTCGAGTGTTACCAAGGCTCTTCGATCTTTAACCCCTACTCTCCCTCATCAAGGCAGCCCCCAACTTACATATCATATATATACTTCCTTGCAGCCTCAAGTCACCAGGAAATCCGTAGGTTGTTGCACCTTGCTCAGCTTCCTGTCTTGGTGTGATCACTACTCCAGGGACCAGTGCTTAAATACCTTCTCCAAGGTCAAAATTCAATAAGCTCCACCCACTCTTTGGCTCCTCCTACCCTGCAGGCCCTCTATTTCATTACCCACACCCACATTCCTCAGTATTAGAGCCACCCCAGTAGGCCTAATCCTACTAATTCAATCTTAATTGTTTTATGTCCTATTTCTGTTTTAAGCCAGTGTCTTTATATTAGGCCAAGTTATTCTAAAATTTACCATGTTGATCAGGATGAACTCAACATCACAGACACTACCTTAATTCATTCTCCAGAGTATTAGCATTAAGGTGTGTTCAATGAGTGTTTTCCAAATTATTATGGCATAGTAGGGTTCTGTGAAAATTGGAAACTAAGAGGACCTTGCCCTCTTGGTGCTGATGTCCAGAAAGAATTCGGGTTCCACATGTTGTCCAGTTTGGCAGCATTTACGATTAATTGGCTATAGTGATATTTTGTTTTGTTTTAATTAATAGGGCTTGTCTAAATATCAGAAGGGAAAAGATAAGCCAAAAGAGGTCAGAAAATGACACACACCTTTAATCCCAGGATTTAGGAGACAGAGGCAGAAGGATCTCTGTGAGTTCAAGGCCATGCTAGACTGCACAAAATCAAGACAGAAACAAATCCTGGTGGTGGTGGCTCAAATCTTTAATCCCCATTCTAGGGAGTCACTCAATTTTACTCCTAGCCCTAGTGGGAATATAAAGTAGGAAAAGAGAGAGAGTCTGTTTCGGGTTAGTTAGCTCAGTCTGCTTAGTCTTCTTAGACAGCAGTTGCACAACATGGTAGTGGTAAGATTTCTTTTTTATTTTTTAATTACTTAATACCAACTAAAATTTTATTTCCCTTCCTTCCTCCCACTTCCCCCCATACACTCTTAATCTGCCCTCTTCAATACCATAAAAGGGCAAGGCACCCCACCCCCATGGAAAGTGTAAGGGCCTCCCTCCCATACCTAGACGTCCTGACTCAACTTTAGCTGCAAAACCCTGCAGCTCATTAAGATGTCCTGCCACAAAACACTTAAATGGTGTTGACGAAAAGCTGAACTCATGCTTTTCGGTTTTCAGCCGTAGCAGGAAAAAAGCCACGCTGTTTAAAAACGCCAGCTTTCTGGGCTGTCCTGCCAGGGCAAACTCTGACTCTCTTATGCAGGCGGTTTGTGCGAAATGCAAGCAGAGGCTGCTGAAGCTCGCTTGTTGGCAGGGAACTTAAAATGCCATAGAGTTGTGGCAGTAAACATGGCTACAGCCAGTACCTCAGCCATGAGGCTGGAAAGCTAAGAAATGGGCTGGATCTAGCTGCCAAAGCCACGGCATTAATCCCACCCATATTTCTCAGTAATTTAAAGGCTTGTGTGGTCAGAAAAAGAGAGATATACAGTAAAAAGAGATTCAAAGACAAAGAAAATTTCTAAATGGTTTACTGTGTGTTAAAAATATATGCAGGCTAAAAGTCGAAGTTCTTAAAATAAAAAAAAAAGTAAGAGAGTTGTTGGGTGTGGTAGTACACACCTTTAATCCCAACACTTGGGAGGCAGAGGGAGATTGACCTCTGTGACTTCAAGGTGTGGTAGCACACACCTTTAATCCCAGTGCCTAGAAGGCAGAGACAAACAGATCTTTGTGAGTTCAAGGTGAAGTAGCGTACACCTTTAATCCCAATGTCTGGGAGGCAGAGGCAAGTGGATCTCTGAGAGTTCAAGGACAGCCTGGTCTACAGAGTTATTCCAGGTCAAAGATACAGAGAACCTGTCTCAAAAACAAAAAATAAAAATAAAAATAAACAAAATAGAGGTTAAAATAAAACTCACAATGATGGAAAATACACAGAGAATTTTGATATTGTATGCTATTATGCTCTCTTTGAATTGTTTAAATGCTGAGAAAAGAGCAATAGCTGCTAAAAGATATTTGTTTATAAATGCTGCTGAACTAATCCAACATAGATATTTTGAAAATGCCTTGACTTTGAAATTTGGATCTAAGGACATGATGCTTTGGAAAGGAGTTTCTTATTTTTTTTTCACAGAGGGTGAGAGTCTGTGGATTGTTTCTATTCCAATATGGTATGATGGACCATGTCCTCCTGAAGGGTTGCTGTGAACACCTTCAGAAAATTGCTTCTCTCAACTACCAACTGAGATGAAACTAGCACACAGGTTATACCATGAAAGACCTAATCAACGACGCCCCCATTCAGCAGGAAGCAGTTGGGAGAGAAAAGACTGCGCCCATGTTCCCAAATATAGTTTATAAATGTTCTTTTACATTTAAAGGGGGTTATGATATAGATATGAATAATCTGCATAGGTATGGATTTTAAGGTCAATTTTGTTATATGTATATGTATTTCTGCTCTTGATTAAGGTATTGTGATGATGTAGTTCATTTAAAAATGTAATGTATAATTAGGAAATATAGGTTGCTAATGGATAATCATCAATAATAGTAAAGTTTGTAGTCATGTTAATTAGATTTTCTGGATATATAGAGATATATTTCAGTTAGACAGGCATTCTTCATATCTTTCAAAGGCTAGAGAATATGCTATTTTAAGTGTTTTAATAACTTAGGACTTTTCATGACAATGAGACACCCTGCTCCTGGCAGCACAAATCTACTCAAGAGGAAGATGGGCATCGAAGAGGAACCTTATGAAGTTTGATAGCCATTTGGGCAAGAAACTGCTCTTGCCTGGACTATTGCATAAACTGGACACAGAGAACCCGCAGAGAGAGGGCTACTGAACTTGCCTAAAGGTGAGATGATCTTTTGGTGTTCGTGATTCATGAAAGAGTCTGGGAGACATTCTGCAGGACAGAGCAGATAGTGACTGAACTGCTTTTGAAATTTCCTGCTTCATGGTAATGTCTGCTGGAAACTATGGGCCTGTAGGCCAAAGATGGATGCCCCAACGGTACAAAGGAACTTTGGGTGACTGTCCAGGCAGCGAGATATCTCTGTCATTTCTAGAGTTTTGAAAATTGCTTACTTTTTGTTTGCTTAGATAATATTGTATTCTTCTGGAGTCTTTGATGGAGTTGAAGAATAGATAGTTATAGTTATAGTTTTCCATTGTTGTGAAAAAGATAAAATAGATATAAATATTGTAACTGTAATTCTTACTTGATAACTGTTTTGTTATATGTAATTTTGCTATGTTAAAGCCTTCCTTTTTTTTGTTTAAACAGAAAAAGGGAAATGATGGAGAAAGGTCATTGGTTAAAAAATAAAGAAACTGCTTGGCTGGCCCTCATAGGTTAAAAGGTAGGTGGGAGGAGTAAACAGAACAGAATGCTGGGTGGAAGAGGAAGTTAGCTCAGACTTGACAGCTCTGCTCTCTGGAGCAGAGATGCCATGCTCCCCTCTCCCAGGCAGATGCCATGAAGCAAGCTGCCAGGTCAGACATGCTGAATCTTTCCTGGTAAGACTGATGCTACACAAATATTAGAGATGGGTTGATCTGGATATGAGAATTAGCCTGTAAGGGCTAGAGTTAATGGGTCAAGCATTGTTTAAAAGAATATAATTTGTGTGTTGTTATTTTGGAGCATAAGCTAGCCAGGCAGCCGGGGTGCTGGGGATGCAGCCCCACCACTCCTGCTACAACACTCTTTCCTTGCTCTCATAGCTGTCCTTCCTCCATCTCTACTATCCCATTCTCTCAAGTTCTCCCCAAACCTCCCTGTATGCCCTGCTTTTTCCCTTCTTCCCTTCTTTCTAACCCCTACCCCCATGCTCCCAAATTTTGTCAGGCAATCTTGTCTGCTTCCAATTTCCCAAGTTCTCTTCTCTCAGGTTCATTGTGATTGGATTTATATTCAGGTCTTTAATCCCATTGGACTTGAGTTTTGTGAATGGTGATAGATATGGATCTACTTACATTCTTCTACATGTTGACATCCGGTTATTCCAGCACTATTTGTTGAAGATGCTTCCTTTTTTCTATTGTATACTTTTAGCTTCCTTGTTAAAAATCAGGTCTTCATAGGTGTATGGATTACTATTTGGGTTTTCAGTTCAATTTCATTTGTTAATATTTCTGGTTTTTATGCCAATACCAAGCTGTCTTCATTACTGTAGATCTGTAATAGAGCGTGATATCAGGGATGGTAATGCCTTTGGAAGTTCTTTTATTGTATAGGATTGTTTTGGCTATCCTGAGTTTTTTTGTTTTTCCATGTGAAGTTGATTATTGTTCTTTCAAGGCCTGTGAAGAATTGTGTTGGGATTTTGATGGGGATTGCATTGAATCTATACATTACTTTTGGTAGAATTGCCATTTTTACTATGTTGATCCTTCCTATCCAAGAGCATGGGAGATCTTTCCATTTTCTGGTGTCTTCTTCAATTTCATTCTTTAAAGACATAAAATTATTGTCAAATG